GGGCGGGGGGGGGGGGGGGGGCAGCAGCTCAGCCATGCACAGGCAGAGGGCATGGGCTGGACCCGATTCAGCTATGTGAGGACTGGGGAGTACTGCCTGGCTCTGATTTGGCTTTGCAGGGGGGAGGGGCATGGGAATTTGGCAGCAGGGAACAAAGGCAATATTAACGGCCACTGCTCCTCCACCGCCAAATTTCCCAATTCAGGGGGAGCCCTATGAGCCAAGTTCTGTCTCCATGGGCCACATCAGGCCTGCAGGCTGAGCCGTTTTAAGCTAATCAGGTCTGTAAATAAGCTGCTTGAATTGTTGAGCAGCTCCTGTATGCAACCTGGGCAAGAAGCTGCAAAAAGCTGTATAAGACTACTAGACAGGCCCTGATATTAAACTCCAGGCAAATCGCTTTTGAAAATGTGTAGCCTCTACTAAGATTTGTTTCAGTATCATAACCACTTAATTCATCCAGCTGTTGTGTGTCTAGTAAAACCCAGAATGGCATAAGGCATCTAAAATGGCAAAACAGTAAATCCAATACAAACATGTTACTAATGACCGTTTCCCCTTTATGAGAAAAAACACATAAAATACATCTTATCTTCTGCTCTCAGCTCTGTTTAAAACTTTCTTTGCACCAGCAACTGTCTTTGATACCACCATATCATCATTCATATATGGGATTTAAGGCCAGGTACAGACGTTGTACTTTTACCAGTGTAAGGGAACAGAAACTGGTCTATACCTGTAACAGAACAGAAGTTTGGCACACAAAATTGGTTTATACCCATAACTGAAGTCCGGCACACAGATTGGTTTAAAAATGGTGGAACCCAGTCTCTGATTTGCTCCTCCCCACCGCACCAAATGGAAAATGTGTGTTCTGTTTGCTACCAAACTAAACTACGTTGCTTACAGAAAACTATGCAACTCAGATCAATTCCTCCTCAGGCTTTTTGAATGTTTGTACCTACCCTACGAGGCAGTGTTAGGCAAGCAGTTTGGAAAAGGTAAGGGATGGTGAGGGGAGATATACTGCTCCCATGGAAGTAGCTGGGGGCTCTGAGCCTGCAAAGGTCAGAGAAGGCAAACATCTTCACAGGTACTGAGTGGAGGGTGAAAAACAAGCTCATTGTCAGTAGCTACTTATTTCATAAATGTAGACTGTCTTCCTCTATGACTGTGCTTCCTTAAGGCAAGCCCGTAGTAGTGCAGAACATGTACAATAAAATACTAAACTAAAATGTTCAAAAAGTTTCAAATACCCAAATGTCATGAGATCGTTTAAAATATGTTAAACTATAATAATTTGCCTTTTGGTTATGGAGTGTTTAGGGTGCATTCAGATTATAGGAAAGTAAGGCTGGAAGGGACCTCATAAAGTCATGTAGTCGAGCCCCCTGTTCAAGGCAGGATCACCCCTAACTAAACCATCCTAGCTAAGTGTTTGGTTAACCAGCTTTTTTAAATTACCAGGGATGAAGATTCTACAGCCTATGTAGCTTATTCCAATGCTTGACCAATCTCATAGTCAGAAAGTTCTTCCTTGTCTCCAAACTGAATTTCCTCTGCTGCAGTTTGAGGCCATTATTCCTAACCTGTCCTCACAGCCAAAGAGAAAAGTCTATCTCCATCCTCGGATAATAATTCTGTATAATTTTGTTAAACCAGGAAAATATTTATTTTTAAATCGGATAGGCTATTAATTATGAGTATGTCTGAAAATAAAGGGAATTTTAGAGTAGTTTTAACCCATTTCCATTTCTCTCCATCAGATCAGATGCTTTACTTTCAAAAATGGCCAGTCCCATGTTGCTTCGCACAAATTTAAGAATATTGGGATTTATACCAATGTACAGATTACCTCATGGAGGCTTCCATACTGCTGCAAAACAACAGAATACTGACTGATGATGTGGTGACGTTTCTCCTCTTTCCTACCTTCTACATTAGATGCAGGCTGCAGCCAAGGCTAGGGATTATGACTGGGGTGTGCCAGTGGTTCCTTCTAGGACTTAAAACCAGAGGTTCCTGGGTAGAGGGTCTTGCCCCTCTCTGTTCAGGGTCTGACAGCTTGCCAGATTTGGGGTCAAGAAGAATTTTTACCCCATGGTCAGACTGGAATGGAATGTGGAGGTTTCTGCCTTCCTCTGTAGTGGGGAGTGTGGGCCTCTGCTTAAGCTCTCTTGAGTGTATATTAACTAACTTTAACAGAAGCAGGACATTGGCTGCCATGCTCCCCGTTTCATCTGTGGCAGTTAGGGAGTTATGTGTTGTGTTGTGTCAGTACTGGTGGCAATTTTACTAAGAGGTTAGATTATGAACCTGTATAGGGTGGTTTGGATAGGGATGGTCCTGCCTCTGCAGGGGGGTGGACTAGATGACCTATGCAGGTCCCTTCCAGCTCTGCTTCTCTGTGATTCTGTAATTAAACTGAATGACATTAAAAGGAAACCTAAAATTGTGGTTTTCAACCGGGGCAAATGGAGCAGGCTGATCAACTCTCACAATCTTCAGTGAAATTTAGGAATGTATTTCCCTCAAATTCCTTTAAAAAATTACAACTAAATTACTTTTAATATTATTTTTCACATGGAAATATTGATATCATGAATTAAACATGAGATTATCTGTGCAACTGTGGAAAGAACTGGAAAAATGAGAAAGGGCCCCTATGGCAATCTCTGTCAAATTGTAGACCAATAAAGGTAGATTATGGTAAAAAAAATGCATTTACTAGCTACTCAGCTAGTTAAAACTTTGAGTCAGACAGAATCTATGATTATAATTATGATTTGTCAATTAATAAACATCATATAGAGAGTGAATTTTGCCTGCTTAAGTAAGTCTCTTGAAGGCAAACTCTAATACCTGTACAAAGTAGTCATTTAAAACGCAGATGTAAACATTTCATTTTACAGCAGCTGAAAAGAGATTAACAACACTAGAATGAAATATTAAAATTTTTCAAGAATTATGATCTGATTTTTGGCTCAGTAATGGTTCATTGTTAGTTTCCTCTTACTAAAACAGGCAACCAATTACTTGCTAAGGGCAGAAAGGAAAAGAGAAGTCAGAAAGCAGTGGACTGGACAGAAAGGAGCATAACAAATCAAAACACTGAATGGAAGGATGAAGTAAAAGTAGGGGCCTCCTTTTTCAAATCTTGTTTTTGGTATGAACAAAGCTAAATAGATTAAAGTAACCCTTTGTCTTTATTGACATGGTATAAAATGTTGTTTATATATAAAGAAAGAAAAGAATAAAAGGGAAAAACAGTGTTTTCCTGTCACATGACAAACTGGCAAACACCATGTAGTGCAAGCTGAAGAAGAATGGTAAGGAGTCAAAATACATAAAAGGAAGATTTAAATTTTGCCATATTTAAGTCTCTGGTATCGTGCAGGCTTCATGATGCCTGCCATGTAATCTCACATGTCCTTTGAGCATGAAGCCCCCCTGAAATCAAAAGGATGGTTTTCTCATTTTTTCACTGAAAAGGGTAATAGCTGAGATTCTCAAAAAAAAAAATGAGCACGTATGCAACTTTTCTTGAATTATATAACATTCTTGTGCTTCTCAAGTGTAGTAAAACAAAAACCATTAATAAACCAACTAAACATCATCATATAAAAGAGAACACTACTTCAAACAGTTCAATCGGGACAGAATAGTTAACTAGAAGTGGTCAGTTTACAAAATCAACATGGGCTTATATTTTACCGTTTGATTGAGAGGGTGAATTTGAAACCACTTGTACAGCAACAAACACTGTATTCATGATTGGATACAGGAATTTGAAAAGGAGAGTGGGGGAGCAGTGACCAGCCCTGGCAGGATGGCTGCACCCTCTTTCAACCTCCCCACAATAACTGGGTGGGAAGACATTACTGCGAGACCAGAAGCCAGTGACTTTTTGGCTAAGTACAGACAGTCTAAAAGCCCAAAGCAGAATTGTTTCAGTCTCTGCAGGTTAGTCTGAACTTGTGTTGACTGAACCAATAAGCAAGTGAACAGACAGTCACTTTTGATTCTGGAAATGCAGCCACATGCCTGCAGTGGCCCAGGCCAGAAGCTGAGGAACGCTAAAGCACACCTCCCTGCTCAGCTGAAGCAGACAGCTTGGGCCAAGGCTAACCCACCCACTCTGCATGGGAGGGATTGTGCAGGGGAGATGCAAAGCATACTGGGATGCAGGAGGGCTGTGAGTTAACTTGAACCTAGAGAGGATCTCAACCAAGTTTAATAAACTGGTTTAACCTAAATTAGTTTTGTCTAATACTATAACCATCCAGGTTTATCTTAAACTAGTTTTGGCCATTTTGAAAGCAGAACTGAACTTCTGTTGTGTTACAAATTTGAACCGGTTTCCAATCACTTATACCAATTTATGTGTAACTTCTGTCCCTAGCCTTTAGGTCCCCAAAGCAGGAAAAAATCCTGCTTCCCCACTCATACCTGGCATGTCCTCTCCCATTTACTCCCTTCCCCACCTGCCAGTGCCACTGTCCCTGGCTGACCTGGGGGCAGGGGGACCTCCAGAGCAATCCTGCCCTGCTGCAGCTAGGCTGCACAGGGAGACAGGCTCAGCCAGGGGTACCGGCAGCAAGTGGGTTCTCCCTCCTTGAACCTGCTCCCAAGCTGGTGGGGAACACTGGGGTGGGGGGATCAGATAGGGAGAGAGAACTCATCTACACATATAACATAGAATATCTTTGTAGCTGTTTTTTATGGTGCCTTAAAATTGAATGTGTGGCATGCCCCATCTCCATACTGACATATCTGTTGGCATCAGGGTGGGGCCCACCTGGTCCCAGTTGGATACCACAGGCCACTCCCGGTCCCTGTGCCCTATGCCCTTGCACAGCCCAGTGTCTGTAGGCTGGGGCTGCCTAGGGGTCTGCAAGTGCCAGGTGGGGAGAGTGAATTAGCTCCCTCCATTTGGCAGATTTAAAGCTGTGTGCCCAGCAGCCCCATGCAGGACTGTACCTTGTGCAGCTTCAAATTGCCAGTGTATGTGAAACACAGGATCTGGGTGCCATATGTGCTGACAAGTTGAAAGAGCATGATTGGGATCTGATCCTTGATTTCCTCAAACTACACATCCTGCACATGTGGCATGGCAGGCTATGTGATTATTCTGATCTGGGATGAGTTCCCACTGTGTTATTAAATTAACTTGTACTGGGGGCCCAAGACTCACTCTTGTGCAGCAGCCATGTTTTTTTAAAAGAAAAGTACTAGTTCATTTTGTGAAGAGTCTAATGCTGTCAGAGTAGGCACGCATGAGGTGTCTTCTGAAAATGCCTACATCAGACACCTCAGGGGAACCAGACATTTGTTTACCAAGCCCCTGGATCACAATCAGACTTAGATGGGGGAAGAGACGCTTACAAAAGCTTAGCGAGGCAGCTTTGCACTAGGGGCAGCTGTGATGTCTAGGGCAGCACTGGCTGCCACCATGTTAACTGCAGTAGTGGCAGCCTTTGCACCACCCACAAAGGTGGGACTAGGGGCTGCTGCCTTGGTTGTCCCCAGCGTTCCCTCTAAGCTGAGTGGCATGTGCAGTTGTGCAGATGCACCTGGCAGTGTGACATGAGCATGCCTGCGCAGCCGCGCATGCTGCTCAGCTTAGAGGAACCACTGGTTGTCCCCCTCAGTTACACTGCTTCATGGCAAGTTGTTCAGATCAGGACAGTTCTAAGCATGCCACAGAAGCAGAATTCCATGCATTTATGCACTTTTAGATTGAAACAGGAAAAGGTCTATTGAGTTTAGACGCCACTACCCCATCTAAATCGGTTTTGGACTTGGGTGGAATTTAGGTGTTTACGTTCTTTTTTTTTAAATGTATTTACATCCCTTATTTGATTTGACCTACATTAAAAAGAAAGGGTTAAGATAAGTTAAATAGTACAAACTTAACATGTATTTCAGTAAATGCATTTATTTCAGTAAGAAAACAACTAAATTTAAGTAAGCTAGATCTTCCCTGCACTTGGAAATTTACTGAAATAGATTTTTTTCAGAAGAATTATTCATAATAATAAATCCAATGGATTAAGCTAAATTGGAAAAAAAAATCCTTATTCCAAAACAAGTGGCCTCACAGAGGTTTATACTGAAAGTAAAAAACCCCAGCATTCCATTCTAGTTATTTCAGGAAATTTCCAAATACAGAGTAACTCTAAGTGACTGAAGGGAAAACAGCACCAGGCTTTACATGAAATTATGTGCGTTTGTTCAAATAAATAAATAAATAAAAAATACAACATTGTAAAGAACTGCAATACCCATTCAAGTGGTAAATGGAACAAACCTTTCTTCCAGGTTTCAAAGTTTTTTTCCTTGTTTTGAGATTTTCGGTATGAGTGGCATTTTTTGTCAAAGGACCATTTTTAGGAGACTTGCCCTTCATAGGAACTATAGATTGCCCGGTAGGTTTAGCCCGACTTTGTTTTCTGCCCCGCTGAGCTGATGCTGAAGCAGATTTCTGTGGTGACTGCATTGCATGCCGGGTCACTTTGGAAGGGGAAGACTGGGTTTTTGCGCTAGTCTTCGTAGTGGAAACTGAGGAAATACAAAGCAAAGGAGGAGAAAAAACCTGCTCAAAATGAATTTCAGAATTTGAAGACATTTTATATCATTATGCTGGGGTTAATTTGTGCTAGAAAAGCAACTATTTTAACAACTATTTTTTTTTTAAATTGCTGCATATGTATTTATAAAATTACATTTAAAAATATCAAACAGGCATCTAGTGTCACTACTTAATTTATCTAAACCTGAAAGTAACAGAATCTGTTCCATCCAAAATGTATTTAAGAGCAATTATTCTACAAGGAATTATTTTCAGATAAAATTCAAAGACTATTTGAATCCACTCACCCTGCAGATGTTCCTTATAGTTCTCACTATTACTACTAATAAACCTACATTTTCATTATGCTTTCTCATCCAAAAGAATCTCAAAGGGTCTTAGTGTAAGAAATCAATCCACCCATCTCTAAAGGCAGTTGCTGCCAAAGTAATACAATGCAACTATTTAACAGTGTACAATGTTACAAAAGAATTGTGAGCAGAAGATAAAGAAAAACATCCAAGTACAAAGAAGTATTTTTTATAAGCAAAATAAAAAATAACTAGAATTTGTCAAAGATACTAGGATAAAAACCAAAGTCCTTGTGAAAAATGCAAAAAATGCAAAAAGATGACTTATATTAAATGATCATTTCTTCAGCTTTAAAATTCCTTGTAAGAAGGAATTGGCAGCATCATGCTCACCATTTTAATCTTAATCCTGCTTGAAAAAAAAAGAAAAGTAAAGAACAACAGCTATGAAATAGTTTCGCGGTGTGTCCAAATGTCCTTTGCAGGTTCTTTCATCCAAATAAAAATCTTGCCTAACCCTATGTAATTAATCAGGTATGACCATCTCACAGTTTAAAAACAACAAGCTGAAAGCCATATCAAAGTTCTGTTAAGTAAAGGCTTCCAAGTTAGCAATATATTTTCACCCATTTGATTTTTCTCTAAAGCACTAAGGATGAATTTATTATAACAATTTCTTTGGCAACAGACTGACAATAAAGGACAACGTAAGATGACAAATAGATGGGAGTTGTTTTACATAGATAGCATTGATGAGAATGTATATCTTGTTACTCCCCAGCACTACCTGTGGCCAAGTCAAAAAGCAATACCTGGTTCCAAAAAAAAACTGTACCTATTCTTCTTTAGCAAGACGAATGATAGAGAGAGACATAGAAGCCTTTGAGGAAGAGGTAAGCCAGTAGAGGCATTAGTCAACCCTTGTACCACAAGGGGAAAAAAGAAAGTTCCGTTTAAAAAAAAAAATCACCTAAAATTAACAAACAAAATAATTCCCCCCCAATCCCCCCTCCGCAGCCTAACCACTCACATACAAAATGTAAAAGATCTGCTTTGATGGATTCTCTGTCACTGATGGTCTTTAAATCAAGACTGGATGTCTTTCCTAAAAGATATACTTTCCCTCAGTCAGAGGCTTGGAGGTTTCCAGATGCAAGAATCACTATTGCCTGTGCTGTACAGGAGACTGGACCAGATGATCACAATTGTTTTTCCTGGCCTTAAAAAAAAACTACAAATGAAAACGTGAGGGACTTTACATTACGGTTAAGGCGGAATGGACAAACCTATAGTGTCTGATCTGGAACACTACTACAAGCTAAAAGTAGAGGTCAGGGTGAACTTAAAGTATTTTACACTTTCTCCAGTTTAGTGGACAAAGTTGTGATGCTTCTATACTGTAAAAACATGATTCACTTTAAACATAAATAAAACCGGAAGCTACATTAGCACGGACATCTAGACAGGCCATTACTGCCAGGCTGTAAAATATAGTACTTAGTGCTGAGCCATGTGTGTGATATGTACCATAACAACATAGCATTCAGCGTTATAACTAATGCTTTTCCTTCTATCAATTACATCAGTTAACTTTAAAAGAAAAATAATTTAACTGAAAAGCAAAATTAACTGTGAACCCCAAAATTATGTCTAAAATGATAATAAACAAAAGTTCTATAAATACAAGTCTAGAAAACTTCAGGATAATTGAATTATGCATGTTTGCTTTATGCCCCTTATAGATCAAATGTCTTTAAACATTTTTAATGCTAAATATATATTGAATCCATTTGTCTGTCACAAACTGTCTCTACGCATCTAGAAGGAAAAAACTTCTGAATCTGGAAAGTAATCACTTTCCTTTCACTTACGTATTTGAAGATTTATAAGATCTCATGTATAGCATCTTAAATTAAGTTTAAATGAAATGTTAAACCAGTGCAGATAACATCATTCATTATACACTTCTGACTCTTCCAAGTGACAACAGTGAAAGCTGGAGAAGATTATAATATTGCTTTATGTTTATTCCAATATAAAATACAGCTATTTTTATTCATTTATTCTTATCTCACAATTTTGTGTTTAATATATATCAAAGTTGCAAATAAATGTTTGCTATATAAATTTGTTGTGTGCCCATGTATACTGAAAAGAAGCAAACACATTCACATATTTTTTTCCCACTGGAAATGAAATATTAAATAGATGAATAATTTTAAAGTCATGATAAAACAAGTTTTGGTACTAACTAGTTCTAAAGAGCACAGGTACATGTTTCTACACACAGAGCAAATATTTAGTCCTTTGTAGAAAGGATGGGTATCTATAAACAAAGACTAACAATACAAGCAGTACAAACCAGTCCATGATGCACTGTTGAAATACAATATAAAAGCATTTTTATTGTGCTGTCTTCCTACCTTGATATTCCACAGAACCATATATTAGCTGCATTGACCATTAAGGGGGTTTGGCTCCCATTTGTTCATTTTTCTTCTTACTAGGACTGAAACTGATTTTTTGAATAAGCAAGACTACAACAAAGCCCATGCTGCCTATGCAGCAGAACTGAAATAGTAGCAAATGGGGATGGAGCTATTTGCATTTGTTGATTTAAGGCGGGGGGGGGGGGGGGGGGGGGGGGGGGAGGGGTTAGAGGAGAGTGAGAGACTGCAAAAGTAATTCGCATATTGTCTGCAGGCTGTATTGACAGTGATCATCAGTCACCTGCTCATACTTCCTTCACCCCTGCCTTCAGTGGGAGACCAAAGGTTACACTGGGTCACAGAATCTGGAAAGAAATGAAAAGACATGCAAAATCTAGCTGCCAACCCACTGCATCTGTGGACAAAGTTATCCCCACTGGACCACATGTTCCAAAAACTAAGACATTTTAATAGTCTCAAGAGAACTTGTTAAAATATATCAATGAAAAGAAAAGAGAGAAAAAATACCAGGCTCTGCTTGCAATTACTGCAGTATTTAGATAGAATATTTACAACAGAAACAGCACATTTGCTTTTTCAGTATACTGCTTTGCATCACAATGGTCTTCTCATTTGCACAAACAAAATAAAGCATGTGTTTCATTCTGTTCCTCTGGAAAAAAATATCAACCATTCAAGTTCCATGGGTTTGATGCATATAATTTAAGTACATAGCATTCCTTCCGATGTCTCTTAACCTATATAGAAAAGTTATTAAAACTCCTTAGAAAAGATAGTCATGTTGAACTAAAACTACAGATGTGCATTATCAACCTTAATGAAAGCCTATACAATTTTAAATATTAACAAAATATTCAGTTTTTAAAGTTCGCAGAGCTATTTAATTTCACTACTGTTGTATTAAAGGTGACATGTGACAGTTTAAGTTAGAAAAATATGCAAGATCTTCCAGGATATCAGTTATTACTACCGTGAAAATATTTTCAAATGCTCCAAAGTCAAATTACTGCCCTGATAATGCCATCTCTATAACTTTATGATTAACACATGAAGGAGAAAAGATTTAAATGTCCTGTAATACAACTTCTGCAATCGGTACTAAAGTCCTCATTCACAAAAGCAGATTCGTTGAAAATACTCTATATGAATAAGCCAAATTCAGTTTGGCTTACTCAAGCAAACAAAATACCTGAGCTCCTGGGCTAAGTGTGTGCAGGGAACCAGGGGATTTGACCATACGTTATTATACTGGAGATTTTTCTATTAGGCTTCTTCAGAGAGTTGAGTAATTGGTAAACATAAAGCTGCAAAAAACTCATTCAAGATGTGGGAAACCTATTCAGAAGACTAGACATTCTCCTTCAAATATAAAATTTGCCTTAAAAAATTCTCTTTCATTTTATGCTGTTCACCCTGAGTAAAGCAGAATAAGGCATAAAACTGAAGAATTCATAATATGAAGAATGACTTAATCCAGACAGACTTGGAGAAAGATAATGACTGAAAGTTGTTTGAAGCACTGAAATAAAATTACAAGAAAACAGATCCAATGATAGTTCTGTGTGTATGACTCCCTCGCAGTGGCATAATGATGGGTGGGTGAGAACTACAGGGCATGAGTCCTGGATGCTGCCTAAGGTGGGGTGCCAAAATGGAGCTGGAGGGGCTTCTCACCCTCCTGCTGTCTCCTCCTCCCTCCCTCCTTCATCTTCTCTGTAACAGCTCAGCAGTGGGAAGAGCAATGCAGCAGTAGCTGTGGCTTAGGAGTGGGTGCCCAAGTAGGCTTCAGTGAAGAGCATCCTGGGAAATGTAATTCTAAATTCTAAGAAATAGCTTTAGAGTTGTATAAGGTGGACTCTGAAAACGGAGGCATAACTCTGGCTGCATGTGACACTGTAGCAGCAGCAGAGGTTTGCAGTTGCAGAGGGAAACGTCACCTCTTTTTTTTGCCAATGCACACTGGTGATTTTTTGGCTGCTTGACATACATGTCAGTGGCAAAAAAAAAAAAGGAGAGGACATCTCCCCCCACATCTGCAAACCTCAGGCTGCTGTTCCAGCACCAGGCACCTCCTCTACTGCTGAAGCAGGAGCTGAAGCAGCTGCTGTAGGAAAGCGCAGTATGCAGGGGGAGGGAAGATGAGGGACTGCCCAGGAAGCAGCACTTGCCAATTATACATCTGCTCCCTCAGAGTTCTGGGCATGCATTGCAGAGTACTTTCTAAATGAA